GAAGCGCATCAAGCCCAAGCAGCCTCTTCCTGCCCCTAGACTTAAGCATCGACCATCGGATGCAAGCCAGAACTCTCGCGGAACGATAACCTCAACCTCGATGAAGAGCAAGAACACTTCCCCAACGAAGTCTTCTCCCCTGGCGTCATCGCCACCCACCAATGCCTCGGATCTGGAGAATGAGGCACCCGCTGCTTCAATTGTTGCGAAGAAGCGCAAGGTTGAAGGCTTCAGCAAGGGTGGTGTCACAAAGCGACCTGCAGCTTCAAGATTTTCCGACGATCTTGTGCAGAAGGCACAGGCGTTCAAACTATTTTACCAAAAGTATGAGACTCTGCACCATGAGATTTCAGCGCTGGACAACCCTTCAAGCAGGAAGCTGGGCCATCTGATGGAAATGAGAGACCGACTGAAAACGATGAAGATGGAGATTTACAGCGAATGTCCCCCAGAGAGGAGCTAAAAGGCGGCAATAATACGACAGAATAAGGACAAGATAGGGTGTGGGTGTTTGATTTCAACGGCGTACAGCATCACGACCGGATAACTTTTACAGTTGCATTTTGCATTGGGAAAACAGGATCTGCATGAACGAGCCACCTGTCGGACAGGAACGGAGCTCTCTTTGATATTTGCATCGTATTTCTTTTTCTTTTTTTGATACCACATGAGAAGACAAGATAGGCCAAACGCGGCCAGAGACAAAGCCAAGCCAAGGCAGGCAGTTAGATTAGGCAAAGCAAAAGCCAAACAATAAGATACAGAAAATGTTGAAATTGAAAACAAGATGTGCATGTAGACTACACTGAGTGACAAGACAAACCTGGTGATTGAGAGAGAGCCTGGCCCGGTTGCGAGCAAAATCAGTCAATAGGTAGTGACAGTGATGAGTGGTAGTAGTTGGGTGCATGGGAAGAGGAAGTGGTACTATGACGTGAGGCGCATGTGATGGGGGTGCGTGATTTACCTTTGGATTTACCAGATTGGACCCCCAAGTTTTGATATGGATGCTGCTGAGAGGGTTGGTTGCATTGGTTGGTCTTTGGTCCTTTGAGTTTTGAGTTTGGTGGGGGCCGTATCAACCTGTGAGCTGATTCAGGACAGGACCCTCCGAGTAAAGAGGAGGGATTAGCAAATAGGTCCTTAGCTAGCGGCTGATCATGGATATCTAGGTAGTTTAGAATGGGGCTGTAGAGGACATATTGCTCGCAGTTTGGAGGACATAAGGTTAGTAATTGTAGCATGGTTTTATTTAGTCTTTGTACCGTTTATGCGACTGGCCTTTGTTAAGAGGCGTTTGCTTGAATCTGTGGCGATAGACAATAAACTCTTGTATGCGACAACGCAGCTTGAAGGCATTGAATAAAGAAGGGCAGAATTCACCAACATATCTATGTCCTGCAGGCAAACTGGTATTGAAGATGTATAAATATCCGCCCAGACGGGAGAATCTTGATTCTAGCTTTCTCATCAACTTCAGTCTCAATCCCTGTCCCAGCCTCAGTCTCAGTCTCAGCCAAAGCAACAGCCATCACCCCCAATGACATCTAGACGCTCCCAGTTCGTCAAAGAGGCGCCTCCTGGAGCTTACTTCCCAGACCTACCATACGTTTACACTGTCCACCCTACTCAGACTCAAGATCCGTTCCGAAACGTGCCTGCTCGCATGGCTGAAGACTACAGCCCCATGTATCCTCCCTCTTCAGCTGCAACAAACATCTTCGTTCCTGGCTGCTGCCGTCATCGCCGCCGTGCATCCCGGCACTCAAAGACCTACGAGAGCGAAGGTTCAACCAAGAGCTATGCTTCTTACGAAGACGTTCAGCCTGCTCAGCCTGTGGATCGTCTCCCACCACGCATCGCTCTGAAACAACTCTCTGATTTTCTCCACGAAGCTGGTATCTTCTACAGCACGCAGCTCATGGACTTTGCTCGTGAGCACCAACGTCAAGGCCACGACACCTCCAACGAAGCCCTTCGACAGTGGCTCTGGAACGACTGGACCCGATCTCGCGATAATTCTACGCGTGAGAACTTTACATCTACCAAGGCGAGCATTACACTCTTGCTTCGTCAGGTTGAAACCGCGATTGCGACGCCTTGGCTAGAGAACGCAGACCTGAACGTCAGATTCGACTTCAGCTACAAAGCTCTCAAGAGTTCTTGTGATGAGATTGTCAGATTGTCAGGCAAGGTCATGAGCGATTGGCAAACTTGTCGATTTCTGGCTGTGGAGCTCAAGAATGCCCGTGTCTATGCCGACCCGGAGGGCCCTGTTCTGAGACATTTGTTTGTGGGGTGGGAGAAGGGCGAGCCTTGGTGATCCTAAAGATGGGAAGCCAGGTCGTTCAAGTTGCTGGAGTTGTTTTCTTTAGTCTCCTTTGTTGGAAGTTCTTATGTGTTTTGTTGGTTGGAGTTTAGTGACCAGGTCGGTTGCCAGGATGAGATGCACAGTACAGACATTGCTAGGGCGACCAATCGGGAAGACGGTGGAGTTGGAGGTTCATAGCTCCCTTTCCCCTGGTCAGTCAGCCACGTGGGCCGTGCCGATCACTCATTCGAGAGTGCTTGTGGCGGTGCAATGCTGCATGATGTGGCTTTAACGCCAACGTTGATACATACTCACAAGCTACCTGTGATAGGAAGATAGACTTGACCCAATTAGATGTTAGCCAAAATTTCGCAACTTTTTTTTTTTTAATTGTTAACAATTTTTTTTATTTGCCGTCAGTAGACAAGTCAATGTGTGGATTACAGTAGCGTTCTTTTTCACCCCTGGACTTCTCCTTTGCCTTGTAAAAAATCCCAGTGAACAGAGACTATGTTCTAGACTCAAGGTGTCTCCGAATATGCGCTGCAGCATACATAGCCTTGTGTTCTTGCTGAGGGCATGTTGAACAGTTAGTTTCCTGATCAAACTTTCTGTTCTGAATTTGTTACTGTTGAATTCTCTTTTTTGCCACACCGACAATCTCCTTCTCTCACCTTGATCATTCCTCTGAGTTGACCTCACCTTAATTGGCAAATAAGTGTAGAAAGCAGAGACTTGGGCTCATCATCATGGGTATCGAAGCACTCGATTTCCCCCAAATGTGTGAACGTCCCAGCTACACTCAACTAGCAGACATTCTCCAGAGTCTTGAACTTAGCCCTCCAATCTGGAACCACAAGCGTCGTCGCTCTGAGATCATCGAGGAGCAAGAATCTCTCGCCAGCCAGCGCAAGGCAGAAGTCACTCGATATCTGTCCTCTATCATCAAGAGCCCCTTGTCATGGATCGACGACGATGATGAGAAGGAGGTTCTCTGGACGCAGGCAAGCAAGCGCATGTCGGAGCGGTGTGGACGCACAGCTATGGGAGAGGTTATTCGCAGATGGCCCTTTGGAGAGGGAAACGATGAGTTCGAGCTGATCATTCGAGAACCGGCGCTCACAGGAGATTCTTTGGGTTTCAAGACTTGGGGATCTTCATATGTGCTATCGCAGCATCTTCCTCGCATGGCGGAGACATCCCTATTTCGATTATTCGATGAGACGTTGGGTCAACCACGACCTGATGTCCTCGAACTCGGTTCTGGGACTGGACTCTTGGGCCTTGCCGCAGCAGCTCTATGGAAAGTCCCCGTAGCACTCAGTGATCTTCCAAACATCGTTCCAAATCTCAGAGAGAACGTGGCCAAGAATACTGAGCTTGTCAAGTCTCGCGGGGGATCACTCACAGTTGGCGATCTCACCTGGGGAGGGAGCGAAGACGAGGTCGACCAGACCCTATTTGGGCAACAGAATCAGTTCAAGGTATGTTTTTGCTCGTAGAGGATCTGTGATTGCAGGGCGACGCTTATATGACTCTTGCTTACAAACGATGTCTGACCCCCCTGATGACTAGATTGTCCTCGCGGCTGATCCCATGTACGACGATGAACACCCAGCGCTTCTCGCCTCAGCCATCAGCGACCACCTTGCTCTTGGCTCCGATTCACGCGCTGTCGTCATGGTCCCGCGTCGAGATGCCACCACAGAACGCCTCCTCGAGTCGTTCCGCCAGGCTATGCTTGACCTCGACACCCCCTTGTTCTGTGAGGAAGAGGACGAACTTGCAGGGCAGGACGACTGGGTTGAGGACGATGACGCGGGCAATGTGCGGTGCTGGCTGGGTATCTTCAGCCGCGGTGGCTCACCACCGTCTCAAGTCGGTGATGCAGCACCCATATAGCACTCTCTGACTGGCCACGGCAGCCAGTGAGTAATAGGCAAAGGGAGAGTCAGGTGCTTGAAGAAGAGACGAAGTTGATAGATGCGATGGAAAATATCAGACGAACTACCTTAGACAGAGACACTGAGCGAGTGAGGAAGCATAGCCACAATAGAGACCAATGATTTTATGCAAGCAATTGCACTGTTTGAGTCATGGATCTCCCGTGAACAATCAGCAGACGCTGCTTTAGGGAGTAGTTCATAAGGAGCCCTTTTCTCCCTCTTTTATGCTTGTGCTTCTTCTCTTGTTCTCCACTTCTACGAAAACACACCACACACAACACCAACACCACCTTCAAAAGCTGCTTTTCTCTACAACTTACAACAGTTTCTTCTTTCATTAGGGGAGAATTGATGACCAGCCTTGATATACTCTCTTTTATCCACTTGCACAATTTCATCCATGCTCATGCTACGTCAGGATTCAGCGCCAGTTGTTAACTGACAACCAATCCAGAGCCAACGACTCTCGAGCTCCTAATCACGGCCTTTAGCAAGGGTCTCAACGACGCTGATTAACCCTCAATAAAGCGATCAACGAACCTACTTAAACATCAAGCTCAGACATTCATTGTCTTTCTGTTCCCCCCTGAATAACAACCTGTACTCAACCGTCTATCACCTACAACCTCACAACACTCACCATCGCTGACAACTTAGACATTTCTTGGACAGTTACACTTTAGACTGCTCGGCACCTTCAACACTTGTTCCACACCTTTGCTTATTCTCTTACTTCTTCCAAGATGACCGGAAAACCAGTTTACAAACCTGACGAGATCCGCTTTGCTTTGAGCCTCATGGAGAAGGATTTCTACAACGATGCGATATCTAACGCTTTTCGGGAACGATTCAACCGAGCACTGACAGACAACCAGATTCGATATTTGAGGAACAAATATGGCAAGGATCCTGACTATGGGTAAGTTGTCTTGTGCCGAAGGAGTCTTGCCTCTTGCTTTTGAAATTAACTAACCGGCCTTTGCTCGTAGAGCTCCCCTTTGCAACAAGCAATCCAAGAAACGAAAAGAACGTCGATCTGACTCTGGAGCTGGTTCTTCCGCTTCGCCAGGCTCAGAGTACGTTGCGAACACCGCCCCGATATCCCTTTCCGCGTATCTCTCTAACCTAAGAAACAGAGGATCACCGGCTGAAGCCAAGAGAGCTCGCCAAGGGTCTTTCAAAGCTTCAGCAGGACCTTCTCAACAACCCCCATACCAGTTTGAGTCCCTTCCAACGCAATCACCAGTCAAATTCGAAGACATCAGGTCCCCAGGCCCGTCTTCTGTCCCCTTGTTCCACGCAGCACCAATGGCTCAGATGGGAAATCTTCGTTCACCACCTCCAAATTCCTACAGCCTCTTCTCGGGAGCACCAGCCCCGACAGGCTTGCGTTCTATGCCTCTAGCTAACTCTTGGCAGACGCAAGCTAGGGCAGACTTTAATACCAACTTTTCCCCGATCAACACTCATTTTGGTCAACACCAAATCAAGTCACCAGAACAGGGAAGCCCTGAGGGCTGTAACGCCGCACTATACCAGACGCCTCATCAGTCACCCAACACCCAGCTTTCATATGCCTCTTATTTGAGACAGCAACCAATAGCTAGCTCTCACGCACCAGTCTCATCTCCGCAGCAGACCGTGGTCGTAGGGGGCGGAGTCTAGGAGCCCTCCGCTACCCAACACTCATCGTCGTTTAAGATGGAGATGCCCCTATCCAATTTTTCTCAGCTCTCCGATTTCGTGTATCCTCAGCAGGTATCACACACTGAAGAGTATACGCAGGAGCAGGAGCAGGAGCCTGAGATACCCAGACGAGATGATATCGCCCCGATGTATTGTGAGGAGTACTTCGAACCAACTCAGCGAGCGGCTGAACAAGGCGAAACGCAACCCACCCAAGATCAGGATGAGGAAACTCCAGAGAAGCAAATCCCACAAGATCGTAAGCAATCTGCTGCTTCGGGCGCCTCTCGCGACAGCAATTAACACCAAGCTGCCGAAGCAGGTTCCTCACACGACTCCAAGAACTAGAGTGGTGACGACGGGGATCAATGTGATGATCAACTTCAAGATGCTCAGTACCACCTTGGATCTGGAGTTGCTCATCACCAAGCCGTACTCCTGAGGTGGTGGCTAAATTTTCCCACATTGTATACTATACCTGACATAACCTAGCCCCTGGGGACTGGCGATATCTGAAATACCCTATTCCTTCTCCGTGATAGATCTGGGCCTCTTTGTCGCTCCTCAAGGCAGTGATTCGTCTTTTGTTTGACCTGTCCACAGGCAGGGCCACACGTATGGCGAAAAACACCAGCTGAGCGTTCTGAGAATTGTTTCCCAAGGCTGTGGACTCAGTGCATATCACGAGGCGTATAGACCTGTCGCATGTGTTAGTGTTGGTACCCAAGCTGAAATTCACAGAACCAGATGGGCAGAGAGACTCGGTTTGGATACCTAGTTCTTAGGCTACTAAGCATAACGAATTAAATAGCTTGCACTTATCTCGATCCACTCGTGCCATACAATAAATCATAACATCTTGATATAAGTTTGGAGAATTGATTTATCCAAATATTTCTGGGCTTACCCTCCAGCTCTCTAATGTCATCAACTCGTCCGCTAGAGCCTTCCAACAGGGTATCTCGTGCAAGTAGAAACGAACAGACCATCGCATAAACCTCTTCAGGATGCCTCTCCAATCTCCGATACAAAAATTGTGATGTGTGTGTAACCATGCTGGCATAGAATAGTCCCTTAAATCCTTGTGACCCGACTCCCAAAAACTCTCCAGTATGAAATAATAACATTAGACGTAACGTGGCATAAGTATAGGCAATTCGACGCAACCATTGCGTTGAAATAGAAGGTTATGAATATGGTTGAATAGCATGTTTACACCACAATGCTGACGTTGCGACGGGTGTCGACCTCCTCAACCGGGAATTGGAAAACGACCTTGAAGAGATCTCGGAGATATGCATATCGCTGTGAACTCTTCATCATCATCTGAATACTCTTGGCCATCTCCTGGGCAGTAACGCGCTTGCCTCGAGCTGGCAAGGCATGGTGTCTGGGAATTATGGCATCGGTAAGGACGGAGTTTTTGTATTGTGATAGCAATGTCGAGTGCGAGATGAGGGACCCAAACGATCCAGGAGGAAGATCCTGCACAAATTTTTGTAACGCAGCAGCAGCGGCTTTGGGCTCATGGATGGTATCACGATTGAAGCCAAGATTCATAGCAGCTCGGAGAACGAGTACCTTTGCACGCGTCACATTTGCATCTTCTGATGCAGCTGTAGTGGTGGCTGTGCTTGAAGTCCTGGTGCTGCTCTTTGAGTAGCTGGAAAGATTGGACGCGCTACTCGACCACCGACCGCGGCTATTGTCACTAGGGGTGCCTAGGACAAGAATGTTGGGCATTGTTGGCGAACGACTCTGTGGAGAGATGGGCGTGTCTTCAAACTCGGTTACAGGGGTTTCCGGAACAGCTGGGTTTCTTGGTTTCTCTTCCTGCCGCCCGCTCTTGACACTATCGTGCCTCGAATGGACTGAAGATGGGTTTGATCCTCGGCTCTGTCGGCCGCTCTGATCATTAAGATGCTGAGGGAATGCGTGTCCGGCTCGAGGTGTTCCCCTATCAGGCCGAACTTGTGTCCAGCTGTCTCGGAATACATCGCAGAGCTCCCAGCAGGCTTGGACAGTAGAGCTCAGCAGCTCCTCATCTGGCGGTCTTCCGTCCCTTCTGTTCTGCCTGAGATTGAAGAGCATCTCTGCAAGTGCCCAACAGGCCCTGAGCAACTGATCAGTTTCCTCGGCCAGATCACTCCGTTGCTTCATTAGTCGATGACAAAGCGCGATATAGAAGTCCAGTGTGCGTTCTCGGAACTGCTCTGGGAGGGTACCATCCTGAGCACTATAGAGGCTGCCAACTTGTTAGAGTAAGATTCATCACTTATTTAATGCACTTACTGGTTGTTGAGCTCAAAGCTAACACGCAAAACCGAGTCCGCTGCTTCATCATTACGCTGCCGGACGTCAAATAGCGCTTGACAAAAATCGCGACACAAATCAAGGTTGACCTTGACATTGAAATTGCTCACGTCCTCATCTCGACTGTGGTAGAGCCGCTGACAAAGTTTCCAGCATGTCCTCCATGCTTTTTCGTGGGCATCAGGAATGCCATTTTTGCCAAGAGCGCGGTTACGATTGATTGAACTGAGCTTAGACAAACTGTTGCACAACGTCCAGCACTCAGCAAGAGTTGTTCGTAGAGTCTCGATCTCGTCTTGTTGCTGTGGTATCGGCATGGCTTCTGATTCATAGTCTTCGTCGTCACCCTCAGCCTCTGTTTGTTCGTCGATTTCTAAACAGATTAGCCATATCCGGTGACGAATCCAGTGTTTACTTACTCTCGAGACTACTCGTACTACTCGAACGTAGCCGGGCACCATCGTCCAGCATAGATTGCAGGTCCTGAGCTTGGGGTGTGGCGCTGTCGATGCTGTACCGCACAGGGTTCACATCGGTTAAAATCGGAGGTCGAACAGGATGAGTCGATGTCTGATGACCGTTTAGTAAATAACATAAGTTTAGGTCGAGGGTAGCAGACCTTCTCCTGTCCGCCGTTAAGAGAGGCTAGGCTTTCAGCCTCTGATTTTGGAGATGTCCTTGGACTTGGCCCTTTGTGCTCCATGGCTGGAGGTGCGGCGGCAGCTGGAGCAGCCTGAATGGTGTTAAAATGTGTCGTATCTACAATGACTATGAAACTTACCCAGCTGGAAAAACTTTCTGGTGCATGGATGACAGAAATAGCCTCCTCGTTGCTGGACTGGCGCACACTCTCCGGTAAGTTAGTTGTGAGCATCAAGAGCTGTGGTCAAGTTAGTCCATAGCCCAGAAAGTCGGTGGTGCCCGTTGTGACTGACCTCTGACCGACGGGTAGCCTTTCTATCACTAACTTCCTTCTCAATATCCTCTGAGACATCGTCCTCGATCTCGGTCGTTTCAGTACCATTAGATGTGACTGGAGAAGGACCCACAATGTCACTAGGACTCATGACATTGTAGGAGCTACTTGACATGCGATTGACGGAATTGGGTCGAAGCGAGGACGAATCGGTAGCAGGAGGAGGGGAAGAGCTGAGACATGGGTCAACAGAGATTCCAAGAGGGTTCACGTTAAGCGCAGAGCTTCCAAGGCAACATACAATGGTCTGAATGGAGAGCGACGGCTCTCATTCTCCGTCGGCGCAGACATGTCTGTCTGGGGGTAAACGAAAGGGAATTGTAGGCTTCCAGTCGATGACCTCAAAGGGGCTTCAAGGGCCATGACGGGAACGTGGAGTTTCTAAATATTTAGCTACCCTGACGGTGGTAGTTGAGAACTCAGGTGGCAGAAGGGATCTTAAGACAATTCACAACTCCAACCAAGTGTCGACGCAAGAAAGCCTTACGATACAGCAGTCCCAAGGTTGACAGATGATCGAAACCTGATGTAGGAGACAGATTCGAGATTACCAACAGCTGTCGTGACGGCAAAGGAATAAAATATGAGCTTGTCGGTCGGCGGTCGATGTGCGGTCGCGCGGCCAGTTAAGAGACCTATGGGCTAAGATCGGGAGGCTGCGTGACTAGTCTGACCCAGTCGAACAGTAATAAGGAAAGATTGATAAAATAGAAACAAACAGAAGGTCCAAATGCTGAATGAAGGGCTCAATGACACTCCGACGATGAAGCAAGCAAGCAAGTTCGTCCAAGAAAACCAGCTCACCAAAAGCCGAACCCAAGAGAGAGAATAGTTAGAATGGAGGGGGAAAGGTTTAAAGAAACAGGCAGAGCCAAAAGCTGGAGCACCAGCGGTTGCAACAACGGACTAAGGCAGACAGACAGACGCCAGTTCGACAGGGGTTCGTGAAACCGGGTCCCTTGTTCTCGCAGCCCTGCTACATTGGGGTGTTATGGGTCAGGTACTCAATTGTAGCTCTTGTTACTGCGAGAGTCAAGTAAGGAATAAGCGGACAGCAGCGTTCAAGATATTTTCTGATGCCACCTCTGGTACGGAGTAGCTGTGAGCTGGCTTCAGAAGCTTGCTACCTTGTTACCTGTCTGCTACCTGTCCCGGTGAACTGCCTTGAGTTGTTATGGAGGGGACCGCACATGCGGCCGGCGCTTGTCGGGAGCGCGACGGTTGGCGCGGTGGGAAACAGAGAGACGCGATAGTTGTTGAATACCTAGGTAGTATGTATAAGCTCTTACAGAATTGCTTCATCAATGGAGTTGAAGCAATACAATTCTTTGAGTGATCCAAAGACTGCGATTACGCATTGACCGTATTTATGTTTGTTAACGGCTCACCAGATTGAACAGGAAAAGATAGAATGTCGCGGAACGTGAACCAAAAGACGGTTGGATCATGAATGGGGCGTGGCCCAGCTGACGGAATATGGGAGGTGTGGATATTGAACAAGCTGGTAGCAGGAGGGGCTCTGCGGCTAGGACGCAACCTGTGGCACTTGATGCTCCTGGAGAGTACCCAGCTAAAAGAAAGTACAGCCAAGACAACTCTGAAAGTCTGAATTGTCTTGCCGAGACAAGGCAGCGAGCGGGTGGGCCAGTTATGTGGACCAAGGCGCAGATGGGACTTTAGAGAGGAGGGTGAAGTTGGGGGCCGGAGATGTTGAGTTGTTAGGTAGCTGCTGGGTTTCTTATGAACAATCTGACCAAGAAATTCTGCCGAAGTGATGGGTTGATGCCGATGAGTGCCAATGCGGCCCCGAGATGGGTTTCCCAAGTGGTTTGAAAGGCTTGGATCTAAGTTCAATATATCGAGGTGTGGCAGAAGCCGTCGACTTGCAGCATCGGGGTGTTGAAATTGGATGCTTAGGGTGAATGGATGGAGCGGCTAATCGGTCTAGCAAGACCTTCTTGTCTCTCTGGCTATAGGTTGTGTTGAGTAGAATAGGGTGTGGTCAATGCAACCCGTTGATGACTCCACTGTGTGTATTGCAGGTATTGCAGTGACTCGTATCATGCAGAGAAGTCGATTCAATCATTGTACTCGCTCATGCAAATTGAATCAATTACAGATGAATGGCATACATGTACATCGAGACTGGTGATGGGCGGAGAAAATATGTATTACCCAGTATGTCTCAAAACGACCAACCTAACGACACCATCGTGTAAGTCTAAAGCATTACCGTTGGCGGAAGGAGAGGCTGGCTGGCTGGTTGACGAATGGACCATGGATCAGGGGACGGGAGGCCCACTCTGGTTAGCACCTGCCCTACGTACAGATCGCAATCATCAGTTTTCCCGCGGTATGGAAGGTAGGTACATTCGACGCCAGCGACCTTAATCAAGTCAGGTGGCTGAGAGTTAAGTCGGTTTAGTTAGGGACCTCCCACTTTCAAGCTGTCTTTTTCGTCATTGAATCATTATTTCATCTTTCTGTATAGCACCACAAGTTAGTTGCTAGTCCTTCGCCCTGACTTACCGATCTTGCTAAATAACTGACAGCAACTACTTCTGCAAGTATATTTGCCCGTCACTTTGCGCTCAACTTAACAACTCTGCACCGCTACAAGACAACCACAACTTCCAGCCGCCCGTCCATAACAAGGAGCCAGTCAAACCCCAGACAGTTGACCAGGGTAGATGGATCGTGGCTCCAAAACTCGTGGGGCACATTGAAAAAAGGACAGGCGTCGGCGCTTAACTCATGGTGGGACTGGCCAATCCTCCGAAGTCCCCCACTTGCATTGCTTCCACCAACGACCTCGAACTGTCCAATGCTATGCTTCGCGGTGCTTTGTGTTCGACAAGCTACAAGACACTTCCAAGCTTTCCTCCCAAGTTCAGCCGTACAGTACTATGGGTACAAAGTCGATGCCATGTGCCATGGCCCGCTGCACGGCATCAACGGTACGGAATGTGACACCCAATGCTGTATACGTATTTAGCATGATCGACAACCTAAAATCGGAATCCCAACCAGCTTCATGTTTAGAAAGGACATAGACTCTTGAGTTTTGGTAGCAACGCCCAACATGATCTTGAGTTACTTTATTTCAAAGCGTGTGCCGCGACTGACCATTCAGCCGGCTGACAGCGTTCCGACTTAATGCTTTATCGGTGGCCCTCAGAAGCCCTGTTGGTTCGATACAGCCTCCATTGCTTTTCAGGTGATACTCCATCCGAATTACCTGAGGATGGAGTAAACCAACTGTGGTCAGTGAGGCAGAATTATTCGTTCACTTCTGTGGCCCTCTCTCCTCATCACTCCAGAAGTCAATGGCAATGCTACCGATAATGCTGGGCCTTGACGATGGTGCTTCTAAACGCCCTGGGCTCGCAGGGGTACGACCAGGATGTAGAATAAGCCAATCAACAACCCAAACCTCAGAACCCGGCGAACCCAGCAGTCTGGTCACGGCGGCTTTGGCAACGCTAAAACGAGCCAGTAGCCCCACCACCCGGGGTTGCAGTATGTTCTTTCCTTTGTGACGCACAGTTCGCTTGCTCTGGAACATGACTCTCGTGGCAGGCTATTCAGCAATGTTCAGATACCAGCATTTTGGCAAAGCAACAACATAAGGATCGAACAAATACTAGAATACCATGGAGCTAGGCCCTCTAGTCAATCTCTACCCCCCCCCCCTCCCCCCCTGCTTTTCAACCCCAATCGCTCACTCACTGTCTGGTCATCTCAAGGTATGGAGAACAGACAAGGGTACATAAACAATCATCTTCAGTTCTTTCTTGTTTATGGCCGTCAGAGAACTAACAAGATAAGTGGATTCTGTCCCAATTTAGAGAAAATGGCAAATTCATCAGTTAGAGAAATGTCTACGAGAACAAGACTGTATTGTTTGCTACTACCCATGCCTCGGGGAGCAAGAAAACATCGGACCTTGATATAGGGTGTCAAAATAAACTTACCAAAAGGTATCCTAAAGGCATCATAAACTTATACCAAGTTACCTAAGTCTTTTTATCATTTAGGATCATGGAAAGGCCCGAGTTTTCTTCCCCCCTTGCCATGTTATGACAGACGGCATCGTCTGGGGTCTGAATCCTAGTAGCAAATTTAGCGTTGTGATAACCCAACGCCTGTTGCGTTGTTTTAGTTATCACAGCGCTAGACAGATTCTCGGAATTGTATTAACGATCGCCAATCCATCCAGCCGGTGCGGGGACTCTCAGCCCTTGTTAAACGGTTGAATAGGTGTTGATGCACCCTTGACAGCTCCACGAGTACACCTCGAGATTCTGAATGGTACAAGCTTTGTGCTCCTACTGAGCCGGGGAGCTTTCTCGATTCTTTTCTCGAACCCAAGAGCAGGGTTGCGGTGTGGATTCACCCCTTCCGGAACACATCCCGCGGTCCACCACCGCGGAGGTCAGAATGTGCAGACGTGACCCAACAAGGAGGGCAACGTACATCGCCAATACACAACATATGAAGATGTGCCTTTAATACATGGAATGTATTTACTAAACGCCATGGCAAGAGCTTTGAGCCCGAAGTGGACTTCCGAGTATGCACGAAAAAGCCACGGAGGGAAGCACAGAATGCAGTGCAAGCGCCAGCCTGACCAGACCTTTGACACTTTGACACTCTGACACTCTTCTCTTTGGCTCGAGGTTGTTTGTTTATCGTGTTGTACAGCTCGATGACTCAAACTTTCCACTTGCGGTAACCAGCCCGTCTGTGCTGCCTGTCAAGGCTCAAGATCGTGTTGGTCGATCACCATAAGAAAAAGAAAAGCGCGGTTGTTGGTCAAGCTTGTTACTTCACAACCAGATTGCTTGGGTGTGATTCATAAGTGTTTTCCGACTGCTTGAAGTATCCTTAATTGTCGTTACTATATTATACCACAGCACGTCTGTCCATAAAATGCATCGTTACCCATGAACTTGCGGCCCGAACAGCCACACACACCAGAAGGGCTCTTCCGAACCAACGCCTCTTCGTCTCATTTTCATTGCTTGTTCCATGACTCTGAGATGTCTACGCCGCTGGTAGCAGGGCGGCTCGAGGTACTGAATAGGTCGAGCAACTTGATGACAGCCAAGATTGGAAACTCATGACGGGCCTCAAATAGAGATCACCCGCTAGTGTATTGGCCTTCAGAAACTCCCGATCTTTTGGAAACCAGGACCAAGTCACACGTTGTGAGACTCAGGCATGGTGACTGGCTTGCATATAATTGTGACTACCGTCAAAGTAGTAGAAGAGTCGCAACTCAAACAATGGGCTTAAACAGAGGTAGTTCCCATGCTAATACACTAGAAAGCCACTACCATCCCTGCCATTCACATAGCAAAAGACCAGCCAAATTCTTGAGTTGCTTTATGACAAGCTTTTCATTGCTTCGGACCCATAGATTAGGATATCATTGTTGAATTGGTCTCAGTCTCGCTTTAGAAAAAGAACTGGATTCACTTTAGCCCTGGTAGAAAGGTATCGCGATGTAAAGCGGAAGCGTCGCATCCCCTCACACCGTCGTCAAGCACTAGGGTAATAAGTTACAGACAAGATCGACGGCAAAGGCGTAACCCTGCTATAATAGAACAGGTATAGACCCCAGAGACATGAGAGCTTCAACCAACACCCGGATGTGTTGTCATAGTCGTTGGCCTCGTAAGAGACTGTTGGCTCAATACAATCGCCCACTCCTTCTGCAAGCAAACAGTTTTGAGGACAACCAACACACTCGAGTGAGTTTTCGAGGTCTTCAAGTGAGGCCAGATCGTAGAGGCAGGCAAGAAAACTCAATTCCAGCACCTTGTTAATCAGGTGAGACTGGGAATATGCGTGCCAGTTTAACTAGCCTCTTCTGGCTTCCCATAGATGTTGGCATGCTGTCTAACAATGGGCGATCCTCCTGATTCCTGCTCGTTGTTCCTCGCCGCAACTTGACATCCACCGCTCTTTGCGCACAGGCCTCAGCAAGGGTGGGAGGGAGTGTTGCAGTTGTAGTCTGAGGATTAAATCCTAGTCGTCAATGGTATAGTGCCCTGAAGAAGTAAGAATACTTAGGACCTCTGTCTTAAATAACAAAAAGAATAGGTTAAGTTTAGTATTTCTAAGCAAGCCCTTGTTCGACCGGTTGATTTTAGCACCCTGGTTTCATGCCAGATGTTTTCTTGCTTCCTGAGGAGTGCATAAGGCCGTCCTGCCAGAAGGGAATACATGCAGGACAAAGGTCCTACCAAGAGCCAAGCGTTCGTTTCTTTTGGAGGGAAGCATGGGTAAGGAAGGTGGACAAGGTTCGAGTGAAAACACAGATCAATATCTTGACAGTCTCGGAAGTGTCTGTATAGGGCACCTTAGGTTATGAGGACTCGTGCTCTCGTATTTGAAACTGATCAATTCATTGCCTTCCTTGCGCCGTCAAAGTGACATATTTCGGCAAGATTCCCTTAACGCCAAACCATGCACAACCATTCTTTCGCTGCTTCTTTGCCACTATCTTACGCATTCTATGAGTACTGAACGCCAAGGTTCTGCTTCTTCTCGCTTCGGCCATCGGGAGTGTACCTAAAGAGAGTTAGAAATCGCGTATGTAATGGTATCTGAGTGGTCGTGTCGTACTTGAGAAGCTTCTCGATAAGGTCAACGTGGGTCATGATCATGCGGCGGCAGCAGTATCGCTTCAGACCGAGCTCGTCCATAGCATCGCTACACTCGTTAGATTTACAGCATTATAAAGCAAAAAGACCCAGCTTACCCATCGGTCTTACGGGGATCTGCGATCAGTTGAAGGTAGCGCTCCCAGAGGTCACCAGTGACCTGCAATCCAAGTTAGTAAACAGCGCCTGGCGCATCGCGGCTGAAGACCCTACCTTTCCACAAGAGAAGCAGCGGATGGGAATAATCATTTTGATGTACTATCGTGAGTGCGCAGGTTCGTCGGATGCGTCCAAAAGAATTGCGACAAGAGCAAGAGGCACGTTACAAAGAAAGCTTGCGATAGTTTGGCGTTGTAGTAGGACTACGAAAATAAAATCTAGCTCCGTAATTTTTCCGACAGAGCGCTTATCTTATCAGTAACTTTTTTCGCAAGCGGGACCAAAATTTCTGCGAACCTTTACCCAGTAGAAGCGTATCCAGCAGGACAACTTTGTAACTTTTCTCTCCGTCGACGAATTGTTAAAAAAAAGTCGCAAGCACAAGAAATCGATCTCGTGCAGAGAGAAAAAGGTGGCGAAAATGGCCGGCCATAAGAGTCCCCGAACAAAAAACGATCCGACCAAGAAGCGCAAACGCGATGTGACGGAAACCGATTCGAGAACCAAGAGGCTAAGAGCTGAGCGAAAGGCGAACAAAATCAATGGAATTAAGCTTGAGAACGAAAGTGGCAATGGCGTGGTTGCTGAGGTGAACGGTATCTCTGGAGCTTTGGCAGAGGCTGGAACTCGGGAGATTGAGATTGTTCGCCAGTTCGACGATACAGAGGCAGGATGGCGCGTTTCGAAGCCTATGGGTGGCAGGATGCTTGATATCGATCCCATATTGACAGAAAATGAGCAGTAAGTCTCAGTCTATGCTAGCAGTATCCTAGCTAACCTTCTTAGATTTCTCATCATTGCGTATAACACATCTATCCAGGTGTATTCGGCAGCCGATTCACTCCTTGTTCGACGAATCCCCGTTACTGCAGCCGAACCCGCCGACAACAAGGCTGCAGCACCCGCGCATATCGTCGCCATGAGACAAGCAAAGCAAAACTCCAACATCGTCTGGGTGGCTACCTCTGATGGCCGCATCTGTGAAGTCGATTGGACAACCTCCAAGACCCCCGAATTCTTCCAGACCCAATCCAAGACTGCAACTGCCATGGCCCTCGTCACGAAAAAGGTCTCTGGCAGAGTCCAGGAAATCATCTTTGTAGCAGAGTCAGATAAGCCAGGCCGAATTGAGGTTGTCGCATACCCAGCCTCAACAACGGAGTCTGAGCACAAGGTTCTCTTCGTCATGAAGAAGCCTGGCAATGGCCTGCAGTTGATTGAGATTAGTGAGGATGGCCACCTGGTTGGCGCCATTAACGACCGACTTTTCTTTGGCCTTCCAACACAGCGACAATTCGATAACTTGGCTGCTTTGGATTACGAGATTTATACCTTCGATATTCCCGACTTGGTCAGCGCCCTTGACCTGAGAGTATATCCTAGACCAGTGACGAGCGGTAAGAAATCGCGACAGGAAGCTGCCCCTGTTCTGGACATCATTGTTGGTGGTGCCCGTGGTTCAATCTACCTCTACCATGATGCGCTTGCTCGAAGCCAGGCGCTTGCAAAGTCGGGATCTGATAAGGAGCTTATTCAAGCGCAAAACTTTCATTGGCACCGTAGAGCGGTGCACGCCCTCAAGTGGTCGCGCGATGGTACGAAGCTCTACACTCCACATGGAATCTCGAGGACTGTACTAATATATCGCAGGTAACTATGTAATTTCAGGAGGTTCTGAAAACTCTCTGGTTCTATGGCAAATGGACACAGGAAAGAAGGATTTTCTTCCTCATCTTTCTGGCAGCGTGGAGAACATCACAGTTTCTGCCAATGGCTCCTCATATGTCGTTCACCTCGACGATAATTCAGTGATGGTCATTTCGACCGCTGAGATGAAGCCTACAGCATACATCGCTGGTATCCAGTCGGCCGCCATCAACGTCACTACACCCAAGGATCTTCTCGTTCAGCGAACATGGACAACACCTGCGAGCGTACAGCGACCGATTCCAGCTGCCATCAGCCCTACTGATCAGTCGAGACTACACGTCTGTGTGGGTAATGGTCGGCAGGCTACTATGTCGGGAGGGTTCTCTGCACCTTTGCTTCAGACCTTCGATCTTGAGACTTTCCGAAGTGTCTCCAAGCAAGCTTTGGCTCGCACACAGCCAACAGATGTCAACATCACGAACAAGGGCCACCCTATCGAAGAGCCCGTAATTACTCACCTAGCTTTCTCAGCTGACGGAGCGTGGCTTGCTAGTGTTGACACCTGGGAGCCATCACAACGAGATGTGGACAACGTTATCAGCGATGCCAAGGACCAGTTCATTCAAGAGCGGCGAGAGGTGTATCTCAAGTTCTGGGAAGCACAAGAAGGCGAGGAGCAGATTGCCCTTGTCTCTAGGATTAATGCCCCTCATGCTACAAATCGCAACGAGGCAGTTCTGGACTTGGCATCGAACCCTGTCTCGACATGCTTCGCAACTATTGGTACCGACGGCAACGTTCGATTGTGGCGCCCCAAGACAAGATCTCAGAATGGAGTTGTGGTGAAGGGGCCTAACGGTCGCGAGGTCTTCACTTGGAGCTGCTCTCAAATTATTGCTGTGGGTGATGGCATTCCTCAAGACGGCGTGATCGACCTCCCCGAGTCTGGTGTTGCTCAAGAGCCCCAAGGAAGTATCGCCTTTTCGGAGGATGGCTCAACTCTTTTCGTGGCCTTCGGAACAGGTGCCTCCGGCGTAATCTACTTGATTGATGCTGCGTCAGGCGATGTGGTTAAGACCCTCGAAGGTCAATGGAAAGGTCAACTGCGATCTATCCGTGCCCTTTCGCCTTTCGTCATTATCCTATCGGATGAACTGCGCGTTTACGACGTTGTCAGTGATGAGCTACGCTATGGTGTTGTGATACCACAGTCCAAGGCCAATGCCCTGCTTCAGCTGGCTGTTGATCATACTTCTGGTCACTTTGCCCTAGCTCTGCCAGCTAATGAGGGCTCTCTCATTGCAGTTTTCCAGCCTGAGGATATCGAGCCCCTGTTGGTGCGTAGCACGGCTCAAAGGATCGTCAGCTTGGTTTCTGCTCCTGAGACAAGTGGTTTCATCGCTCTGGATGATGCCGCTCAAGTCTGGGTGGTTGCCGAGGGATCAGACCCTTCATCTCTTGCAACTGTCCAGCCTCTTGAGGACCTCCGCCTTGAGGGCATTGATGCCAGTGGCAATGAGGCTGGTCTTCTCGACGAAGATGAGGATATGGCAAGCGATGTTGACGATGCCGAGGTCGAGCCTGTGACTGAGCCTGAAGATATTGAGATGGGAGATGATGACTCTCACCCAAGCGTGATTCAACAACAACATCTAGCAGACATTTTTGACGCTGCACCGGCGTTTGCTGCGCCTCCGATCGAGGATTTGTTTTACAAGGTTACGGGCCTGCTCGCGACAAAGCCTCTTTCAGCATCATGAAAGGAAGAAATTGGTATATAATAATGCATGTTAAAAAAAAGCTAGAATGTTTTTTCTTACAGAGGAGTATGTATAAATCAAACTAGACAGTCATAGTCTAGTCGCATGGGGTCTTGGGAAGTTAGAAGATGGCAGCGCCGGCGTTGAGCAAGTCTGGAATACTAGCTAGCTATTCACTCAGTTTGTATATGCACTGCACCTGGGGCATGGCCGACATCGGCGCGATTGAAAAAGAAGAGGCAATCGCCAAAATCCAAAATAGGCCGGCATCTCTCGGGAATCGGTTGCAGATGCGGGGACGGGGCTTGACTTGGAGACGAAGGAGAAGAGGAGAAAAAGGTGTATTCGGGTGGACCAATCGCGCCATGGCACAAGAGGTAGTGATGGGTAATCAGTCAGTCGATCTATTGACTTGACTTATGACACTCTTGGAGTGAAAGATACCAGGTTATTTATCAACAAGCTACAGCACAGATTCTTTTACTTCCTCCTACTTTGCTTGTCCAAGTACAAGTTTACTTGTCCAACTTGGCAAATAGAAATGTCGTTTACATCTATTCCAATTCTGGACCTAGCTACGGCTCAGGATCCGGCTACCAAGCCTCAGTTTCTAAAGGAACTTCGCCATGCATTGATGGAAGTTGGCTTCTTGTACCTCAAGAATGTTGGCATCTCGGATGAGTTGTTCCAGAAGATCATTGAACTGGGAAAGGGTTTCTTTGACATTCCCGAGGAAGAGAAGTGAGTGGTGATGAGTGACATTACCATGCATGATATGATGGTTCACTAACTCGTCCAGACTCAAGATTGAGATGAAGAATGCGCCGTCTTTCCTAGGCTACTCTCGTCTCTCGGCGGAGATCACAGCTGGAGAGATTGATCATCGTGAACAAATTGATCTCTCAACAGAGCATCCTATCCCTGGGCCCGATGCTCCTCTATATCGTAACCTGCTAGCCCCCAATCAATGGCCGTCTGAGGGCTCGTTGCCTGAGTTCCGCAAAGTGTATACAGACTACATGGAGCGCATGGGCAAGATCTCAATTCAGTTTACGTCTCTCATCGCCGAGGCCATTGAGCTTCCCAGCGACGCCTTTAATAAATACTTTGACCAAGATCAGCAACACAAGCTCAAGATTGTCAAGTACCCCGATGCAAAGGAACTCGGCATCGAGGGAAACGTGCAGGGCCAGGGTGTAGGTCCTCACAAAGACAGCATGCTCACGAGCTATCTCCTCCAGGCGACATCGCACAAGGGTCTTCAAGTACAGAACGTTCGCGGTGAATGGATTGATTGTGAGCCAATAGCTGGAACCCTCGTCGTTGCTATCGGTCAAGGTTTAGAGGCACTCACACAAGGCGTCTGCGTCTCTACAACGCATCGTGTCCTCTCTCCCGCTGCCGGCTCAGGTGCCCGCTTCTCCATTCCCTTCTTCCAGGGCGTGCGCATGAGCGCTGAGTTTGAAGACCTGGAGAAAGTCGGCGTTGGTCTTGTACCAGAGGAAGTACGGGAGCAGCGTCGCAAGATCGTGGAGCGCAATGGAGGGCGTATTGATGATGTCGAGTTTACTTTCCGAGCTGGCGGTGCTTCAAAGACGCTTGGCGAGGCAACATTGCGAAATCGGGTCAAGAGTCACCCCGATGTTGGAGAGCGCTGGTATCCTGATATTCTGGCTAGCATCCGTGAGGAACAGGCCAAGGCGAAGCAGCAGAAGGAGGCTGCGGCACCAGTCGTGGAAGCGCCCCCAAAGGCTGTAGAGGCTCATTAGATACCGGTAGTGGGATGGCAAACACAGAGGAATGGCAAGAATGTGCAAAAAGAGCAGTGTAAAATCTAAATCCATCATGAGTCCCTTGTTCTCGTCTCGTCTTGTCCCGTCTCTCCGTTCTCGTCTAGGCTATCACGCCACAGTACGCCTCGCTTCGCTAAACATTTCCCATTTTCCCATTGTTTTCTTGACTTTTTCCTCTTCTCGTACGATACCATCATGTCAACACCTCGTGTGTGTTATGGTCTATGCGACTTGGACGTTGGGGAAGCAGTCGGCAATGGTCTTGCTGTGCTTGTTCTCGGCATGCTCCTTAAGACTAGAGAGGAAATATTAGTTAGTTAAGATGATGGAGAAACAGAGGAGATCAGGGGGTATTTTGGTGGACATACGCAGGGGCCTTTGTGGTCTTGAGAAAGGTAGATTTGCAGATCTGGCACTGAATATCACAGGCCTTCTCGTTCTATTCGGCCATGTTAGCAAGATATACCGGGGATAATAGAGTACAGTTTGTAAACTCACCACCTTGAGCTGCGACTTGGCAGTGTTCTTGTCCTTAGCATTGCGCTCGCGCTTCTGTTGAGCCTTGGCACCCTGGGACCTCCATGTCAGCACAAGGTGTCGTTTATGATGGCATCTGATTCCTCTTAGCTTACGTTACCCATGTTTGCGATTTGGACTGGTTGTTTAAGAAGAGGGAGAGGGTGAGGGTGTGTTGCGTTATGGGGACTAGGAGAATTCGGTATAGATTTGGCGGTGTTGAAAGGTCAAAAGGTGTAAGTGAGTAAGAATTAAGAGGGTGGATTGGATTGGATGCGATTATGCAGAAGAAAACCCGTAAAAAAACGGAAAACGGAGGGTCACCTTTTTTTTTTTTTTTTTTGTCTCTTCTTAGCTGTCGCCCTTTTCGGACAGGCCGTTATCTAACCGGTCTCAGGGTCTCGACCGTTCCATCCCGGGATTGGCATAAACGGGCATTAACAGAGACTAAGAGGGCTAAGAGTCTATGAGTCTACAGTAACAGAACACAGCCGAGGCAGAACCTATATCTATTTATGTTACAGAGTTGGTGTCACCGCCGTCTCAGAGTCATCAAATATACTTTTACCAAGTTACAGCTGAATACATTACCTAGTTAGTAGCCTCCACGTGCACAACCACTTTGGTTAGCACCAACCATCACCAACAAACATCACTGTCAGCGCCCCTACCAAGCCATAACTAGCAAAAGCTTCGAAACTGACCCATGCGAGCCTCAACTCTCACTAAGCTAGCTTATTCACGTCCCCGAATCTTGCTGAGTGTGGAGAATCCTGGGTTAATAAGCTACCAACTGTGCTGTGCCTTGAGCTAGTCTAAGCTCTCGTCGATCGTATTGAGCTGACCTCTAGGCTCTGGCCGGCCTAAGCCCTATCAATTGCGAGAATCCCGCTTAGATAGAAGTCAATATCATCATACTCTACTTGCTTCAGTTCGAGGGTATCACCTAGCTAGGGCAGCTAGGTGGGCAACCGCTGCTTTGCCGCAGACCTTCATAGCAACGAGGATTCGAAGGATCGCCAACAATACATCATATTATGTGCAACGTTTCAAACCAGGATAAATCAGATTCATCAAATCCTCCATTTCTATCAAATCAAGATGCTCGACAATGCAGGCTCTCGTCTAGAGGTCCAGTGTCCGCCATAAACGACGCCACGTACCGCCAATGGCGCTATACAGCACAGCCTAAACGCCCGTTCTTTCAGCTTCACACCAACAACTCCGCATCCAATTTGATAGCTCGTCTGCCCATCCAAACCGAGTAAGGTATAGAATCCATATTGGTATGCAACGCTATATACATGTAGTTGGTGCTGAGGTGAGACGGCGACTCTTAAGTCAGAGAGCCGACTCTTGCGATAGTATATAAGGCTGCTGCGAAGCACGATAGAATATGCACAACACCATTATTGAGAACATTCACTTTTCCAGTATCCAAATATGACCCAAACCAAGTTCTCGTCGTTGCGCAACAAGCTAGTCCAGGGACGGCTTCTACTCCCCGGAGACGAAGGATTCGAGGAGAGCCTCCAACGATGGAGTCTCACCTGTGTAAAGCCTGCTGTACGTCAAACCGTCGTGGCTCCCCAGCTATCAGCTAATCTATTCACAGGCCGCTGTAGCCCAACCCAGAACTGCTGAAGAAGCCAGTGAGGCCGTCAAGTTTGCAACTTCTAATGGCATCAAATTCAATGTCAAAGGAGGTGGTCATAGTACCTCGCAAACTTCTTGCGCTCCCTCACCCGAGAGCATGGTCCTGGATCTCTCTCTTATGCGTGATGTCTCGGTAGACACCGAGGCAAACACTGTCTCCTTCGGAGGAGGCTGCTTATGGAAAGACGTTGACGAGGCACTCTGGACCAAGGGCCTTGCTACCGTTGGCGGAACTGTCAGCCATACTGGCGTTGGGGGCCTTATCCTGCATGGCGGCTATGGCATCTTGTCTGGTATTCACGGCCTGGCTATCGACGTCTTGCTTTCATGTCAAGTCGTTCTAGCCGATGGAAGCATCGTGACCGCATCCTCCACCGAGAACGCAGATCTCTTTTGGGCTCTCCGAGGCGCCGGCAGCAGCTTTGGTGTGGTTACCCAATTCACCAGCAAGATATTCCCACAAGGTGATATCTGGGGTGGCATGGCTTTTCTCCCTCCCACGGCTCTGCCTGCAGTGATCAAGTTTCTCAACCACTGGGGAGAGACCAACGACGGCACCCAAATCTTCCTCACAGGCTACACTTATGCTCCCCCTGGCCCAGATCCCGATGCGCCCAGGCCCCTCGTTGTCCTGGTTCAGATGGCCCAGGTTGGGCCTAATCCAGAGGAAGATGGCCTGAAATATTTCGCTCCCATACTGGAGCTCGAGGCATTGATGAAGCAAGTTGGGCCTATGCCATATCCTATGATCAACCAGGGCGCAGATGAGGTCTTTGCAAAGGGCAGTAGATACCTTTTTGGTGGCGCCAACTTCACCCTTCCCATGGAGCTCTCCACCGCCGAATCAATCCGTGATAAATTCACGGGGTTTGTCGAGGATACGCCGGGTACCGAGGGCTCTGTTGTCATGATAGAGTGCATTCCCCAGAAAACCATCCGGACGATTCCTGTTGAGTCAACATCCTTCAACTCACGAGGTAACTATTACAATGTTGGTATCAATTACAAGTGGATGGATGAAAGTCTTGATTCCAAAATTCGCCAGTTCAATCGTGGATTCCAGAAGTCGATCCGCGAGCTTGGATACGACGACAAGGCCTTGTCAGATGGCATCGGTCACTATCTGAACTATGTGAGCACTGACACCATCTCGGCTGAAGAAGCATTTGGTTCAAACTCGAAGCGCTTGAGGGGGCTGAAGAAGCAGTATGATCCAAACAATGTCTTTGATAAGCTGTGGAAACTGGTTGGTGAGGTTGAGGATAACAACTGGATTGCTTGATGGACGAAGGGTGTATTTTCTATTACCTACTGAATAAACCAGTCAAGGCATCTTACCACAGGAATTTCCTACGTCTTGGGAAGTAATATGGTTTTATAGAGGTCACAAGGAGGTGATGTGTCCGACCAAATGACTCCCAAATTCGCATTGCATTCTGCCTTGCCCGATTAACGAGCGCTTCAGTACGTCCCGTCATACTTTTCTGGAAATAATACCCCATTTGCCATTTCCAATACTGCATACTCAAGGTCATCTTGAGCTTCGTCCTCATCCCAGGGTAATAGCCCCATTGCACGCATGCCGTCTAAACCGCCTGCCTCACCAACCTCTCTAACGGCCTGCTCTCCTCCTACATTGGCATCCCCCGTAGGGGCGCCAGTAAAGTCAGGGCCGGCTTCCCCATGCAGAAACCCCTTGCGCTGATGAGCAAGATATAGGGCATTTGTCTGAGTTAATGGACAGGCTGGAAGATATATGATTGTTGTAGGAGGGATGCCTGGGCGACGGAGACGATCAAGGGCGTAGACGGTATCGCAGTGCCAGACAAGGTAATCACCAGGGTCAAGTTTTGGTATGGGAACCATGCTTCGATGAAGCTGTAGATGAGGATGTAATGCATCGTTGAGCTCCTGTGGGTAAGACGGCAAAGCGCCTTGAATCACAGACGAAGTTGGCTCTTCAAGAATCCAGTTCCCTGGCGTAAGAAAGTCTGGACTCGCCGGTGAGGATTCTTTGGGCACAAAAAAAGGGCGCAGAAGAAGATATGCAGTTGTGAGTCGAATCATGGGACACAAGAGAAGGGTACCATGACCAAAAGGAACTTCACTCAGAGCGACCCAGCCCTGAAACATGCGGAAAACGCTGCATGAGCCGTCACCATTGTATAAATCGCTTGTCACTTTTAGTCGAGTGCTGCTCTCCCACGGATCCCAGTCCTCCCAACGGCCATCCCAGATGCGTTGATAAGTCGCTGCTGAACCATAGCCATCCGGCTCCCAGCGCTCCACGCTTCCTCCGTCAACATATACACTGAGGGAACATGTCTCATCCTCGGGTCTCCTGACCCTCATGCGGTCGGCGTAGCTGATGGGGAAATTGGGGCTCACAAGTGCTTCCGGGTCAGACGAGTGCCATAAATTCATTAGGAAACGTTGGGTATAGAGAATGTTCGGATGGGCTCGAGACTTGATCTGCCCAGGAGACCAGTAAACTCCGTACAGATGCGGATCATGGGTGGGCAATCGTTGCGCCTGAAGGTCCCCCAAGTGAGCGTCCGTATCTGCCTTCCATTTCGTAGCCAGATCATGAGGAATCACATTCCGAACAACAGCAACACCTCGTTCCTTTAGTCTTGAGGAAAAGTCGTCTGCAACTGAAGAGTCTTTGAGATCGTTAAAATCAATAGATGGGTAGATATCCGAACCGGCTTTGGCGATGATATCGATTTCAGTGTTTAACTTGACAAGCAGTCTTATCCAGGAACTCTTGATCTGAGAATCTTTACCCTCAATCAAATCTCTCTTGATTCGGGCAAAGCGAGTAGGGAGAGGTATGGGCTCAGTAATCTGAGCAAACATACTACTTGAAGGACCATGCCGGTGGCCTTTTGGAGCCATGGTGAGAGCTTTTGAGAAGTTGATTGTGGGTACTGGAAATAAAAGATAACGTTGAGCTATACTAGACCACCCGCACCAGTTGAATCACAGATATACACTGGAGTAAATGTGGCAATCGAGGGACACTACTGGAACAGCAAAGGTGAGAGCTCAAGCATCTTCTCCGAGGAAGGAAAACCTGGCATTCTGGGCGCCAGGGCGACGTATGGTTGTTTTATAGCCACGTTTACATGGTCCGCAAACGTGCCTGAACGCTGCGCGTGACTATCCACGGCCTCTTTGAGGTTTAAGCCATTGATTTCATCGTGAGGAATTGTCGTCATGCGGAATTTCTTCGGATGGGAGCCTGGTATTCTTCGGATACACACGCTATACGGGCCGGATACCCGGTCCTTTGAGGCTGTCGTTTTGGTTGCGGTGTGTTATCAAAATGATTAGCTGTAAGGTATAACCGTTTAGTCTTACAGCTTGGTATCATGGACCTGGTGTGCATACGATTAGAAGGGTGGCAATGAATCGTGAGCAGCATTATTTTGCAGTTTTGCAAAAATGTATGCAGAATAAGTTTGTGGTTTTGTTGCCGTGTGTCGAGTCGTTTTATTTTCCCTTGCGACTGAAGCACTAGTTCTTGACCCGTTTGGATCGACGAAGTGACGGCTGTTCAGGGATTGCATCCTGTACTATTTCGGCATTTGAATTAATCTTCCTCTTCTTTTCCTTCTTCGCTGCCATGGGCGCTGTGATCGGCCTGGCCTCCTTCGGTGGTGCCACATCATGGGATTGATCCGGTTGAGCCGGTTGCTTCATCAAGACATAGGCCACTTTCTCCACGTCACTTGCTTGCACATCGAGTCTATTCCGCAGATCGTCAACTTCGGAGCAGAGCATACGGTACTCCTTGGCGTTATACTTGATAGGGCTCTGCTTCCCGTTGCAGCATAGCCACCAGAAAGCCTCGTCGGCAAAGAAAATGACCCGTGTCGGATCATGGACTGCCAAAAGCAAGGATGCAGTTGCAGGGCCAATGCCTCGAAGCTTTGTCAATACACCCACGGCGGCTTCTATGTCGGAATCCCTTTTGTAAGCTCCAAGAGCTTGCTTTACAATTTCCTGAGCATCGTTTGCATCATTAGATGAGACCAGATTCATAAGAGTTGGTCTGAACTTCCCATGGCGTCTGATCTTTATTAGCAAATGACGTGAGCTTTGACTTCATGCAGCTGTACGATTCTGGCACAGGTGAGTGGACTTGGACTCACAACTTCCACTCCACGAGGTTCTTGATGTCGTCTAACTTCATTGGGCGACTTTTCGCGCTAGAATTGAAGGCATCCAATGCATCTTTGTATCGATAATTGTCCAGTTCTTGCAGCGTTCTCTGGCCACCTTTGGCTATTGGTTGATATTGATTAGCCGATGCTCGCATGAAGTGGCATCCTTGATATTTCTTTTATTCACTTACCACCCTTTTCATCTGATACTCTTTCAATAAGAGCCGGGTATCGATTGAGAACTCGCTTGAACTCCTCAAGGCTGATGTTGTTGACAGAGGTAATGCTCAAAGAGGATGCCATAGTGCTGATATAATTTGGCACAGTGATAAGATGTCCTTTTATAAGAAAGGATGGAGGGAGAGACTTGAAAATGCCTTGTTTCCCGATTACGACTTTCAGTGATAGGCTGAGGCAGGAGAGTCGAGTGAGACGAGAGACGAGCATAGAGATTGAGGAGAAGATGGGAAGTCGACGTGCCTTGGAGAGACGCGACGCGATGGAAGGAGACTGTTCAATTCGCACAGTGCATGATCGCGCCCCTTTCGGAAGGCAAGAAAATAGTAGACCTTGATATAAGGTGCTAAAATAAACTACTAAGGTACCTAGGTAGTAAGTAAGGTATCCTAAGCTTATGCTAGATTACCCAAGGATATTGTTATTTAGGTCAATATCCTGGTTTCCTTCCTGGACAAAGAGAATACCTACATCAGGTACAAACAAGTACGGAGGATGAATTTAAGGTCCTTAATAAACACTCAGTTTGCCTTAAAATATTACGTCCTTATAATAGAGAGAGAAGTCTTGTATTGTTACTCCCCAAGACCATACGTACTTCTATGTTTGTTTCACATGGAATCGAGAACGGCATGGTGTTTGAATGGTGATATAGCAATTTGCATGCGAGACCCTGGTGATCGTCAATGCCAAGGCATCATCCAATATCACGATTCTATACGTAAAGAAATTCCTAATACAATCTCAGATAGTCGATCGTCCTGTCCACGTCCGATCGCCAACTTTGCGCCGGTGCTTAACCCAGTAACCGTTATAACGCTATTTTACATCTTGCACTTCATCTGGCTCCAGGTCTGTTGCTGTTTGTATATGCCCTGACAGGCTCAGACCCAGTCTCTTTTCTTCCGCCCAGACAGGTCAGCAATAGATCAGATGCCGATATCCTTGGGCGGGCGGGCGTCTTTTTTCTTTGGGGCCATAGAACATGGGCGCCTTAGATGCCCTTTCTGGACTCGCCAGTTTGTTGGGTAGCAGCGTACTTGTCGCTGAGCTCATCGTAGCTCTTGTGGAGCTGCTCGCTCTGCTTCTTCAGGGTCTTGAGGTCCTGGTCCTTCTGCTCAAGCTCCTTTCGGAGACGAGCAAGCTCACCGGGCTTGCCGGCAACGGCAAGCTTCTCAGCCTCCTTGGTATTGCTCTTAGTACCCTCGTAATCGCGGACCTTGTCCTCCAGACGCATCACCTCGAGGATCATGACGTAGGTGCGGTTAAGGATGAGCGAAAGGAAGAGGGTAAAGCCGCAAAGGTACATGTTGCGCTGGGAGTAGAACTTGCGGGCTTGGACTTCGAGGCGCTCGTGGCCCATAACAGCGGCACTGCAGTCAGGTTAGTGATGTGCCCACCTGCTATGTCGTGTTTTTTTGGGGGGTAACATACCCTCCTCCCTGCTTGGACTGTTCGGAGGCGGCGGCGAGCTCGAGCTGGACGCGGTAGACACGATTGACACTGTCGATAAAGAGAATTAGGATAAAGACAAAGGTGATCTTCATCCAGTATTGAATCTTCGCGACAACAGGGTTCTCGGAGATGAAGCTGTATATCTTGTTAGCTGCACGGTAAAGACGCCTAAACTTGGTGTTTGACGCACGTGAAGATCTTGCGCTTAACGTTGAAGGGCATGGGGACGATTAGGAGCATGAAAAGCGCCATCTCGAAGACAAGAAGCATAAAGACCTAATTGAAACAGTTAGAAACTTCATTGGCTAGGTGATTGGAGCTCTCGATAGAGGCACAAGGAACGCACGAGGGTATAGTAGAGCGTCATTGTGACGGCGGTGACGAGGGGTAAACAAAAATTGCAATGGAGGAAGATTCGGAAGCTCAAAAGAAAGAGTGAGAGAGAAGTTCAGTCGTAGAGTGCTGGTGTGCTATGAGAAAGGGAAAAAAGCTTCCGGTTGCGATAGTCTTCGTATTTGTATGCAAGGTGAAAAGAGGAAGAATGGCAAAGGTGGTCAGTTTGGACCTGAACCTGGCAGAGCTGGGAAAGCTGTCGTGCACCTGTCTTGTTCCTTCCCGCTTTCAGGTTCGAATCGACAACGTCATCGCTTGTGGCTGGAGCCTACTGGACGCTAATGGTGGGATGTGGGGCACCGTCACTGAGGTGAAGCTGAAGAATTTAGTGGTCTAAGTGGCTTACATCTGCCTATACAAAAAGGACACTAGTGCAAGTCCGTTCAATGAATTATGAAGGCATAACTTTTGTTAGCGGTGGATATTCTTTCATAAAGATGATATCAAAGCATTGGAGCTCTGTATTCCAGAGTCGAAACATTATGCCTGGTAGTCAATTGAAGAACATCAATTCGCTATGTCTTTTACGTCCCCAACACAAAACACCAAAGCCAACTGCATCCTCAAAACTCATATATTCTGTAATAATACTACTACTACTACTACAACTGTCTCCCAACTAATACCAAGCCTCTCACCCAAACCCAGAAATTTCCATCCTAGTTTGTGCAAGACTGTATGTTTGTGATGTCCCCATTATCTTACAATGAAGCCAAACTACCTTGGAAGCCGCTCTATATTATTGACTCCCGCCTAACCAGTCTCCGTCATCTCTTAACTTTGCTGTTGGGCGCCGGTTTCTCACACCTCGATCAACGCGCGACCGCACAACCACGTCTTGGTCTTCGTCGTCGTCATCATCATTGTCCTCCTCTAGTTGGTTTTGGAGCAGCCTGGATTCTTCAGTGCGTTCCTCTGAAAGATTGATATATTCCATGCTGTCGTTGATTTCCACTGGCTGTGGCCGTTGCAGTGCAGCTGGCACGATGGTGTCTGCAGCTACGATCTGGCGTTCTTCTAGATCCTCTCGATCTTGCGATTCAGAAGCCGAAGGATGCTCCAACATCGGAGCTGAAGTCAGCTTTCGTGGATACTTTCTCGGCCGACCACTTCCTGGTCTGGCGCCACCTCTTTTGCCGCGTGTCTTTAGATCTCCTCGTGGTTTGCCATTATGGCTCGACGCTGCTCCCTTGCCATCTTGTCGCGCTCGTTTTCGCAGTCTTGCTGCTGAATTTCCAAAATCCGAATCTCCATCTGAAGGTGTTTCCATAATAGAGGCATCAGTGCCAGTCGGGTGATACTCTTCTTCTTCTGAGTCCTCCTCAAATGGGCCCTTCTTGCGCTTGCGGAGAGGCTTCGGAGCGAAACCAAGCGTATCCACCAGCATATCGTCTTCATCGAGAACTGCTTGGGCACGCTTCTTTCCCTTTCCGGGCTTCTTCTTATCCGTCTTTGGATTCTTCCGTGCGACCCCTTCTCCGTTGGGCCGTCGCGATCGTTTTTTACCCTGGTCAGACTTCCCTCCCACCTTATGGTCGAGCAGCTTCTTTGTCAGGTTGGGGAAGTTTTCACCATAATTGAAGAACAATTCCTCTCCAGCTTTGATATCCCGCATGGCTGTAAACTTGATGCGGTATTCGCCAT